AGGTAGAGCAAGAATACACCCAAGACAGCAATAAAGAAAGGAAAAATTGAGTCTAAAATATTTGCACACTGGGGCCGGCCAAGCGGCTCAGTTGGTTAGAGCACAAGCTCTGAGCAACAGAGTTGCCGGTTCGATTCCCACATGGGCCAGTGAGCTGCGCCCAAGCTGAGCTGACGCTGAGCTGCCACTGAGCTGGTGAGAGCATGTGCTCTTAGCAACAAGGTTGCCGGTTCAACATCCATATGGGATGGTGAGCTGCGCCCCCTCCCATTCCCACCCCCACACCTAGATTGAAAGCAGTGACTGGACTTAGAGATGAGCTTGCGCCCTCCACAACTAAGACTGAAGGACAACAACTTGATTTGCAGCTGATGGATCCTGGAAAAACACAGTGTTCCCCTTCCCCAATTCCCCAATAAAAATCTTTAAAAAAATAAAAAATAAATTATTTGCACACTGGAGCAAGCTAAAGACTCCGCACAACAATGAAATGTCAGGCAGAGGATATCCATGTTGTATTGCCGCCACCCAGGACACCACTACCCAGGACATGCCTCATATATAAGTTCCCTTAATAAAGGCTTAATGTTAAAATAAACAAACAAACAAACAAACAAACAAACCCAAACAATAGAATGTCAGCAGAATCCCACCCCCAAAGGTGTGGCCAGGGCTCAGACCAGAATTCCAGACAAGACAGACATACGGTTTCTTAGCTCTGTTGTGAGGATGTGCTTTGCAGCAATCAGGAGCTCCTTTCTGAGGTGTGCAGTCTCTGCGGGACAATTTGAAAGTAACTGTAACATTCCTTTCACCATCTGCTGAGAGTACTTAGTCACCAACTCCTATAAAAATAAGAGGAAAACAACACAGAATGATTGGTGAGTGTTAGGAAAAACCCATTTTATAAACTTTTTTAAAAATTCAGTAAGATGAAGTGTGGCTCAAAAAACCCTCAGAAAGTAACAGGCCCAATAAACAATTATTATCCAAAAAGTTTTAATAGTTCATGTGTGTGCATATTGCCATGTTGGAAGGATGGGCAGCAACATAAATAGCAGTTTGTTTTACATAATGGGATCATGAATGTCTTCTTTGTACTTTTCTATCTTCCCAACTTCCAACAATGAGTATATACTATTACTTCATATATCATTACTAGGGAGAAAAGGGAGAATACTGAAATTTTTTTTTTTTTTACTCTTTACTTAGTCATCCCTTTAATGTAAGCTCTGAACAACATCAGAGGCACCTTTACTCAACACAGAAGAAGTTCTAATCACAACCTCCTTTTGACGTGTTTTAGGAAGGCAATTCACCACGGTTTAACTCAAGCTGACTAAAATATCAAGTGGTGCCTAATTCCAATTTTTTAAACCAAATGATCCATTCAGTGCTTCCTAGAGTCTGGAGGCAGACGAAATATAAAGGGGAATTTGGGGGAGTGATGGAAATGTTCTGTATTTTGATGTGTTGGTGGTTACCAACTGTATGTATCTGGCAATTGATAGAACTGTTTACCTACAAAAGGTGAACTTTATTGCATGTAAATTATATCTCAGAAACCTGACTTAAAACAAAAGTCAATGAACTTACCTGATAAATTCTGATGATATAAGCTAAAAATGACAATGTTTTAATCTGAGCAGCAATGAAATCAGCATACAACTCCTTGTTGTAAAGCTTATGTTGTCTGAATGAGAAGTGAATAAAATTCACAGTATTAGCTCTTAACTCTTTAGATGACATTAATATTAATTAAAAGCCTATAATAATTACCAAGCCCCAAAGTTTGACTTCTACACAGACCAGAACAACACAGCAGCAACAGTGGAGACTGCACTGTTATGCAGTTCCAGAAAACGTAAAGGGTTTAGAGACATAAAGCAAGCAGTTCTCCAAGCCATACCACAGGCATTCCACAATGTGTATCCCACAAAGCCACGCGTCCAGCAGACAGCATCAGGGTACCTAGTTGCTCAATAATAGGGCTGGCCGAGTGGCTCAGTTGGTTAAGAGCTCGCGCAAGAGTGTGAGCTCTGAGCAACAGCGGTTCAATGCCCAGCCCAAGCTGAGTTGCTGCTGAGCTGCCAACAGGTGGCAGGATGGCTCAGCTAAAAAAAAAAAAAACACACATTAGGTGTTCCAAAAAGGAACAAATTTAGCAAACTTAAATCTAGTTACTATTGCATTCCATTTAGACCACCTTCCCNAAAAAAGAGAGACCCCCGTGCTCGGGCCACAGGGTCATTAGAGCTGATTCACCCTCAGATCCTGCCCTCAAATGATTCAGAGCCAGATAGGCTGAGTCAAGAAAGTTAAGTGATAAAGGTCTTGAGAGGGATGCCGTAATGTTTGAGAAAAAGCTTCAATGATTGAGAGTGATAGGTGAGGGGGGGGGGAAAGGGTGTAAAGAACATTCTAGTACTCATGCTGAAAGGAAGAGCAAGAACAAACGCTTGAAGATAAAAAGACTTGGAGATCCCATAGCTACAAGTGAGCACAGTAATGCCCAATGATAGTTCTAAATTTACAAGACACCAAAAACCAAGGTATTAACCCATCTTTTCAAAATAAGGAACTAAAATAACTGTTACTATCATCATTGAAATACAAGTTCAAAAAGTAAAAAATGAATATAATTTTACCAAAATTTTATCACTTAAAATTTTCGTGTCTTACAAATGACAACAGCAAGTGTATTTTTACTTAGAATGAAAGCACTGTGACAGTAAGCTATGTCACTGTCGGAAGAAATCTCACCTGGCTTGTGCAGATACCTGAATTGCAATGGTATTCATGATCAAGGGCACAAATTCAGCAACGACATTGTGGATATTCAGTTTGTAGAGCTAAAAGGAAACACATCAGATTTGCATGCTTTTACACTCTCTGCTATAGCAAAATAATTGGGCATACCAAAGAAACTATAGGAGTCATTACATTATATAGGAGTTATTACATTAGTTAGCATGTGTGTATCATACACATCCATTTGCCACAGATAATTAGATATGAACTTTGTCATAAAAGAAGCCAAAAACCCAAGAAACGAATAAGCAATACACATACCTGATACATTAAAACGACAATAATGGGCAATTCTGCCAACACTTTCAGAGAAAGAGATCCTCTTGGAATGATGGAATGCTGTTAGGAGAGAAACAAGCACAACTGTGGTTATCACTAACACTTAAATAGCGCCAGTCAGTATCCCACTGCTGAGCACCACCCCACTGAAATAAGGAGAAGGGAAAACACTGACACATCTTTGTAAACATCTGTGGCAAAAGATGCAAACTATTTTAAAAGCAAAGTGCATAGAACTATCATTTAATAGACAGGTGTTTCTATTTTCCAATGTCATCAATCACCTGTAGTGAAAAACGTCAGGAAAATCTGTCAAAACTTAAGAGATTCGAATCACCTGAGAAAATTTTTAAATTAATATCTCTTATTTTACTTAAAAGAACAACAGCAAAAGTACAAATGTACCCAGTTCTATTCAAAGATACTTATAAACAGGAAATGCTTACAATAAATATACGAAAAAATTTAAGTCTTAATATATAAGAATTCATAAAACATGTAAGGAAAATGTTAGCCTAAAATATAGATGGGCAATTGACAGGAACAGATAAGCAAAAAACAAACAAAAAACAACAACAAAACAAAACAAAACAAAAAAACCCACAGACTAATAAACAGAAAACAAGTTTCTAATTCGGGAAGAAAAAGGAATGAAAGCTTTATTCAAAATGCAATTTCTTCTTTATCCCAGCACATATTAAAACATTCCACAAAACCATTTCAATAAACAAATATAAGTGATATTCTTAATTCAATCATCAAAGTACAGTCATAGTAAATGCTTAATACATGCTACCTATGTGGCAGATACTACAGCTACATTACCTGAAGACAATACCAGCATTACCTTCACAAAATTCTACAAGATAGGTTTTTCAGATAATGAGAGGGAAAATTAAGACCAGTACAAAGGTTCATGAACTCTCTCTCCAACAATCAGAAAACCCAGTGGGTGGGGCCAAACTCATCCCAGAGCTTTCGTCCCCAGAGGCCACCTCTCAGGCATTGAACTACAATTTACCGTACTTTAAAGGGACTTCATTAATGTCAAAGCTAAGGATGGAACAGAGGTCCCCCAGCCAACAGGTGATTCTGGATTTCCACTACAATGTTATCTTTGTATCTTTACATCAGTGGTGAATATGAGTTCACTTTCACCACTTCAAGGCTGCACAGCAGAATCAGTTTGTTAATCTTAAATGCCTCCACGTGTTTAAGGAAAAAAACCAAAAAACCTAAGTGGTCTAAAAAATCAGTATTCTCATTTTTTCCTCTACCAAGTATAGATAACATGGATAAAAACAGAGCAAAACAACTGGGAAAACTTACTGTCCTTGTCTCACTGTCTTCACGCTCAGGATTCACTTTCACAGCAATTGTCGTGATCATGCCAACCATTTCCGGGGGAGGGACTGTGTTCTCGGGGATCACCTGAGGGTTCTCAAAATAGCGGTTCTACATAAAAGAACAGAAATCATCTTTCCTAAAGCCAAACACAATATTCCTTCATAAAATACACCTGAAGTGGTAGAAGAAACCAAATGTCCTCCATGTTTATGTCCCATAGTATTTGGGGCACTCTTTATTTAAGACCGTGAGGACAACATTGTCCACCTCCAACAACAGAAAATAAACACTTGTCCTAAGTATTTTCTGCTCCTTCTTCCTGACTGAGTAAAGATGAAATGCATGCCATATTAGTTATTACATCAGTGAGGTGGAGAGAATGGACCCCATCCCTCCAGTGATAAGAAACTGGAAGCTAACCCCAATGAATTCACTTTCCAATAGTATCCTCCTAAATGGAAATCAAAGATGGGAACAGAGGCAAAGCACAGAAGGCATTTTTAAAGACCAGGACCTCGCTGTCATCCTTAGTTCTCAATGGAATTTGGACTTCATGTTAAACAAGACAGTTTCTTATGAAAAGCTCTGACTGAAATGGTAGGTAATTAATTTTAAGTTTTATACATTATTAACAGATTAAAATCCTTAAAATACCAAAAGAGTCCATTTTACCATATGTTCATTAAAAAAAGATTTCAAGCCTAAAAAAAATCTTTCAAATAAAAACTGATACATAAATAAATTTACACACAATGATTTTTACCAAACACTATTTCTGATAGTAAAGAATCAAAAATCAAGGGCCGGCTGAGTGGCTCAGTCGGTTAAGAGCTCGCTCAAGAGTTTGAGCTCTGAGCAACAGTGGTTCGAGTCAGCTCGAGCTGAGCAGCCGCGGAGCTGCCAACAGGTGGCGGGATGGCTATCAGGAAAACCAGCAACAGTGAGATGGTCAAGGTACATGCATATGATAGAAAATTACGGGGCCACTAAGAATTAGGACTGCTGGGGAAAGAGTCTTGGAAAATGTTCCAAGCTGTAACAGCGACTCCTTCTAACAAGTGAGAATAAAATGGAGAGGAGGCATTTCTCTTCTATTCCACACTTTTATTTACACTGTTGGCACTGCTTGGAGAGAGTTCTATCAATACAGAAAAGAATTTTGGGCCGACCAAGTGGCACATTGGTTAAGATCTGGCATGGGACACCAGCTCTGAGTAGCAGTGCCCTGGTTCAGATCCCACATGAGGGCCAGTGACACTGCCCTCTACAGCTAAGATGGTGAACAACAGCTCAACCTGGAGCTGGGCTGCTGTGAGTCGCCAGTGACGGCATAGCCTGCAACCCCTGCTGCAGTGGGTTGCCATAAGGGGCTGTGAATGATCAGCAGCTGGTGTGAGCTGCCAAGAGCCGCCGTGAGCGGCCATCCAGAGGCCGGCGACTGATCTGCCTCACCCAGGGAGAGCACAATGATCACAATAACAAAATGGACCAGTGAAGCGACATCCTCCACAACTAGACTAAAGAGCAAAAGGACAGCAACTTATCGGTTCCCCTTCTCCTGATTCCCCAGCACTGTTCCCCTCCCCCAATTCCTGAATAAAATCTTTAAAAAAAACAAAGAATTTTAATGACTCAAAAACGTTGAGAGTATACACCACCTCCCCCAAAAGCATTCCTGATCATGAGCACAACCATCCTTAAAAAGCACCACATGAAACACAAAACAAAACATCAATGTTGAAGGTTGCTTACAAGTGAGAAAATTACGATTTATCTTGTTTTTTTTGCAACATTTCAAAGTAAAACATATTGCTTTTATGTCAAAAATACAGTATTTAACCAAACTTTTTTTTTTAATGGCTGATTTATCAACCTAGATTCTGACCATCACTAAACATTCCCCAAGGGCTCCAAATTACCTTTGGAATAAGGAAGTAACAAATAAACAATAAATCCAAATAATACTTAAAAAAACATACCACTACTTTTGGAAGCTCCTTGTAAATCTGTTTCACAAAATCCAAAAAATGATGAATCTAAGAAAAAAGTATAAGGAAGATATTTATAAAGAGAAAATGCTTATAACAAGAAAAATGTCAATAGTCTTAATATATAAGCACTCATAAAACAGGTAAGAAAAATGTCAGACACAAAATACAACAAGCAGTGAATGTCAACAACAACAAAATACAAAAGACTGACAAACAGAAAACAAGCATTGTAACTGGAAAAATCAAAGAAGTAGAAATTTGAATAAATGCCACTTTTTGCCTTTCAAAAAGTAATACTGGGCCGGCCGAGTGGCGCGATGGTTAAGAACTGGCTTGGGACACCAGAGGGCCCCGGTTCGGATCCCACATATGAGGGCCAGTGACACTGCCC